TTTAACTACAAAATTCATTATCTGTTTATATTTCTGAGATGAGGTATTATGTGCATTATTTACATTATTAGGACTATTATTTATCCACTGTGCCATCAGTGGATAAAGGTGTTAGTTAAATCCAGTGACAGGATCCAAAGAGTGTGAGTTCAATACCTGGTCAAGGCAGTGGAAAATTTCAGAGGGAAAATTAACAGGAGATAACTAACATCCATTAAACATGGCACGTGGAACTAGAACAGTCTACCCCAGTGAGTGAAATAAAGGGTTCAGTTCGACGTTCCAACCACCTGAAGAAGGCCGGAGCGTACAACGGCCGAAACATAATAAATATGGTGACAAAGATGAGGACAATAGTCCAAATAATGTAAATAATGTGCAAAATTCATTCAAGTTAAGCAACATCGTGTCTGGTCAGTACCTAGATGGATGACCACTTGGTAATACCAAGTGCAGGAAGTGTAATGGATAATGGCTTGGAATAGTATTTGGAGAGTAGAGTTCCAATTGCATTCCAGTTTGTGATATTCACTTACACACAAATACACTTGGAAAAGGAATACTGGTGGATTCATTTTTTTATGGCTTATCAACCTTTTGCAGGTTATTTAAAACCAGAAAATATTTTTAGATTGTAAGAATTTTTTTTTTTTTTTGAGATAATAATTTACTGATACAAGTCTTACTAATTAACCCATAGCTGGGAGGAGAAAAGGAGGATTCATATCTCCCCCAATGATATTTGCTTGTAAGTAAATAAAACAATCCTAAGTGGAATTGGAACTTGGCTCTCCAATTAACAATTCCAAGCCATTATTAATTACACCACCTGCACATCCAAACTTTATTGGTATTCCCAAGTGGTCACACATCTAGGTATTGACTAAGCTTGGCATTGCTTAACTTCAGTGATCATACAGGAACCAGAGTTTCAATATGATGTGGTTGTAAGCCCTTGGAAAAGGGTATGAATCCATCTCTCCTCCCTCAGTTATGGGTTAATTATCAGTAAATCAATTGTTATTTCCCCAAAAATCTATCAAAATCTGAAAATATTTTCTGGCTTTAAATAACCTGCAAAAAGTTCATAAGCCATAAAAAAAAACAAATCAATTCATCAATCAAAAATATATGAAAAAGCAAAATATAAGAGGAAAGAAAAATGTTTTGCAGATATTGGGCCTCTACAATGATATCAAGACAATAAAGGTAATGATAATAGGAATATTAACCATTTCCTTATAAAGAAACATTTGTCATTTAGTCACAGAGTAGGCAGTGTTATTTTCGGTTGATATTTATAAAATATTTGTATTTTCTTCTCAAGTTCACTGTTATTGCCCTTTCCAGTATTGATGGGGCTTTCTTCCTAACCGTTTGAATAAGTGTGGAACATCTTGATTATGTCATTATTTTCTCTTCAAGTTACATGTGCTATCATTTTAGTTACTGCTGCTGTTATTGAAAGTCAAGTGATATGGTTTCTGTTATCTGGTACACTTCTTTCTTTCTTTGTACTTCTGCAGCGCCAGTCCACAATTTTCAAAGAAGGATGGCCTTCACTAATATCCACACGCTACACTTGCTCAAGGCCTTTTTTAACTATTGATCACCTATCTTTGAGAATGATGAAATATTTCATGACAATGGTGGATTCAAATAGATCATCTTGTCCTGACAATGAGATCAAAGCTGTATATACCAGTGAGAATTCTCCTCCTAGTGCAACAAACCTTCTAGCTAAAAATCCTTTTTAAAGAAATTAAATTTATGTAAACATCCAGTATATGAAATGTAGAGCAGAACAAGAATTATTGTGTAATTAATTACATGTTGTGAGGATGTCATCAGTTCTCAATTCAGTAACTATACTGATGACATGACTATTTACTACAGCCTTAATAGTAAGTGTGATCGGTTCAATAAGATCAAATAAAGAGCTGATCTCAAAAAGATTGTAAAGCCAAAGAAGTAAGAAACCAGAAGAGAGTTCCACAAGCAAGAAATGTAAGAAAAGAAACTATTAGAATAGAACGTATGGTTAAATCCAGTTATTTCAACAATAAAACAAGACCAAGTTACCAATCTACTAATATACTTCAATTCATTTTCAGATATGGAAGAGGAGAGCTCATTAGAACAATTACGCTCTCTAATGGTAACAGTATTATAAACTATTTGCTTATAAGGAAACCTTTGGCGTTCATTGACAGATCAGCCAGTATTGCGTTTGGTTGAAACTTACAAGATCTTTTTTTTAAACAATTTCTCCAGAAAATAAGTTTCTCATATGCAAGTCATATTCTTGCTTTATTAATGGAGGTTTTTCTTCCTAACCTGTTGTTTGAAGTAGTGTGGAATATTAATATCTTGATTATGGCATTATTTTCTCTTCAAGTACTTATTCATTTTAATTCTTGCTGTTGTTGAAAGTCATTTATTTTTACCCTGTCACGATGTCTAAATATCTACCCTAACTTTGCTAATATAACTTTTTGATAATACAATGTGTGTAGGCTCTTTTACTTTCAATAACAAAGACGAAAGTACCTGTTTAAAATAGTGAGGGGGGACACACTACTAATAAAAATAGTGATGACTAATAAATCATCTCAAAATTTCAAACAAAAAATAATGTTGGTGGTGGTTGTGATAGTAGTATTAATGACTAGTACTGATAGTAGTGGTAGTTTTGTCAACAAAACAAGACGAAACCACAACATCAATTATAATAGTAATGATTTGAGAAAATTATTTTTAAAAACTTCACTTTTCCCTTACAATTTTCCTCAAAAGACAGTTAATTGTTTTTTTTCCATCTTCAGTCATGCATGGGGAATTGTCTAGTTTTCTCTATCTCTTTTCATGTTTCTCTATTTATTCCTTCCCGGTTCCAAGAGGCATTATGTTAGCGCTATTTATTTCAATTACACATTTGCTGAATGCAGCAAGTGTTGGAGCGTGGGGGGAAGAAAAGTGAAGGGAACACTGCTTCTCAATTCCATCCCTTTAATTGTAACCCTTCCAACTTGAGTCAATATGCATTTGAGTGTTGCAGATTCCCCATTTCAAAAGTAATCACCTGAAGATGCATTTAACCATGATAACAGAAAATTCAAGAGAGACATAGCGATACAAAATAAGTAATAAAAAGGAAAAAAAAAAAAAAAAAAAAAAAAACTCTTGCAAAAAAAAAAAAAAAGGAAAAAAAGATAAATGACTTGTGATGAAAATTAAATTACATTACTGAGAAAGAAATAATGATAGGATAATTAGAATCAGGAAGAAGAGAGAGAAAGAAAGAGAAAAATAAAAATTAAGAAAGGAAGAGAAAGAGAATTTTAATGAATTACAATGAATAATAAAAGAGAAAGGTGAATACAAAAAGAGAGTGAACGAAAAAGATAATTACTTGGGATTGAATAATTAGAGTTTAGAAAAAGAAAAGAATGAAAAACAAAGTTATGTTTGTGAAGATATCATTGGGTGGTGCTGTTAACCACCTATAAAAACTGGACACTTCCTGTCTTTCTTTCTCTTTTCTCTCTCTACCTTCTAGCATGCAGTAGGAGTAATACCCAAGCATGGGAATATCTTTTTTTACATGCACGCATACATATGTAGCACTCACAAAATTTCAAACTGTTAAAGTCATTCTAATATCATACTAGTTTGTTGCTGTTCTTTATATGCCATGTCCCTTCAGGACGTAGTCGATCATGACCCTCCACATCTTCCTGTCCCTTATAGCTCTTAATTTTTGTCTTTTTGTTAACCCTTTCCTACTATCCATTTACTCAAGCTCATCAAGTATGCTACACGCTGCTTTCCTCTCTCCCTCATTCTGTCTTGTGAGTATAAGATTTTCGAAGCCCTCCTTTCTCATTACATGCCCCAGAAATTTCAACTGACACTTCCTGATGTTAAGTATAACTGTCCTTTTCATTTCCATTCTCTCCAAAACCTCATTGTTGCTCACATGTTCAGCCCATGGTATCCTCAGCATCTTTCTGTAGAACTACATTTCTGTTGCTTCAAGTCTGTTCTTCACCTTTGAGGAGATTGTCCAGCATTTACTGCCATATAGGAGGACAGATATCAAGTAACAGGTCAGAATGGATATCTTGGTATCCCAATGCATTATCAGATCTGTGTCATACTTTCTATTCTCTGTTAAAACAATTCCCAGATATTTAAATTTTCGTACTTCTTTGATTTTAGTATTCCCAATTTATAATTTGCATTTTGGGCTCATCCTATTGCTAATAACTACGCATTCTCTCTTTTTGCAGTTTATATTTAGTCCTTTCTTCTTGCTTTCTCAGTTATATAAAACATTACTTTGTTGAAATTTATTCCGTTTCCTTATAACTCCTTTAAACATGATGACCAATCATTTACATGTATAAATTTTGTTTGCCTCTGCTTTTAGTTAAACTCAGTGCAATGTTGTAACAAATCAGAAATGGAAGTGTATATTTGAAGCTTGCTTGGGTGCTGACATTATTCTGCATTTCACATTGACAGTGGTGGAGTGTTTAATTCCTATTTAACACCCCCCCCAAAAAAAAACAACATTTCAAATGATAATTTTCAATACAGGTATGCCTACAGCATTTGAAAAACAGGTACAGCACAATCTTCCAATTTCTCTCTCTTGGCACTCTATCAAACTAAGTTCCATAAATATCTACAGTGGCTTGCATGATTACTTGGAAGACTGACAAAAATTTTTGTCCCCATTTCATTTGGCCATACAAAGAAACATGGATACATGTGTGTGTGTGATTAATTATGCAATACCATGATAAAATTGTGAAGAGAAGGTAAAAGAAAATGACAGCAAATAAAGGAAATGGCAGGAAAAGAAAAAATGTCTGACAAGGGGAGATAATTATAGTGACCAATGGTTATCAAGTTAATCTTGTAGACCATTAAAACTGTAGTAAGTTTGATCTTTTCTATTTGTAAGCTAAGGTTAATAAATATCATAATTATACTGAAAGGGAAGAGGAAAAAATAATGATATTAAAGATAAAAAAAAAGTGTGGACAAAAAAATAAAAAAATAGATAGGTAAAGAGAGAATGAGCAACACTAAGCAAAGAGGGGGAAAAAAGAAAAGAAAAAGTAAAGCAAATATGCAGAAAGGATAGAATTGGATGGAGTCATAATTTGAAAGAGAGAAAAACTATCAGCATACAAAAATGAGCAAAGAAAGCTAGAAATAATAGGATAAAGAAAAGTGGATTTAAGAAAAGGGCAGGAAAAAGAGGTATCCTTATGGCACATCAAAATTACAATGACAAGGAAGAGGTAATTATATCAAATTTATTAAGAGAGAAGTTAGGGGATTTGAAAGAAGAAAAGATAAAGAATTACTTTTACATATGAAAAAAAAATAATCAGAAATAAAATTAAAAAAAAAACAAAAAAAAAAAAAAACACAGATTTAATAAAATATCAATGGTTGCATGATAAAAGGGGCTCCAAAAAAGAAAATTACCCAAAGCATTGATAAAAATAAAAGAGAAGGAAATGCAACCTCAAAGGGTTGAGTAGTTTCATACTTCCTTTCTCACACAAGTGGTGGTTCAAATCCCAGCTGATTAAAAAAAAAAAAAATTTTTTAATTGAGTTCATCCCAAGTAAAGAAGTAAAGCCATGAAACTTCAATGTCCACATTTTTATTTACATACACTATCACTGATATTGAGCACTTTAACCTATATATATATATATATATATATATATATATATATATATATATACACCTTAAAACTATATTTTATATATATTAATGTATATTTTGACAGCAACGTTTCTTTCAAACATCTTTCATTGAAAACGTCTGACAAGCAAGACTTAATTAATCATTTATTGAGTTTTTCCAGCATTCTAACACTTTTCCTTTTTTCAGGGTTTAAAGAATATAATTTTTTTCTGTAGTTGTTATCATACTGAGCACTTTCAGCTAGTTCCATAGCTATTATCAAGGATGCTGTTTGGGTAGGGTGAGTTTTATATGTGTCTTCTGCATAGTAGTTTAGTGGTGGGGAAATCTGAAGTAGTGTATGCCTTTTTCTGTGGTCACATGTTATATGACTGGTTGATTTTCTGTGGTCACATGTTATATGACTGGTTGACCTGGGCATCACTTTTCTTTTTTAGAAAACCTTTAACATGCCATCTTCACTCCTAAACAGAGTAAGCTTGATATCAGGGGACCAGTATTTAATCAATAATACTTAGCTAATAATGAGATGTGTACAACTATGTGAGTTTTTATGTGATCAAGTAGAATTTTCCTTAAAGTTTCTTATAAATTGTGAGTTAATAAATGTTTATTAATCACACTTTGCTTCGAGAGGTGGCATGTAAGGTGTCTACTTTAGGAGGTAGTGGTGCGTCTAATATGGGGAATTGATTTTTAACAAGTAACACAGTCTTGTCCTGGGCATGGAAATTGGTACACTATATTGGTCATTACTAGTTTAGATTTGGTGGAGTTATTTCCTGAAATCTACACAAGGTAACTCGATGACATTTTCATTCTGATAAAAAATAAAGATGAAATTACTAACATAAATTTCAACTTTTGAAAAAGACACAACACTAAAATTCACATATGAACTCATGGTACATTACAAGATCCCATTCCTTGACATTGAGATGACATTTTCATTCTTCTAAAATGCAATGAATTTACCACTCACCTGCATAAAAAATACACCAGCACAAACTCTTGTCTTCTAAACTATGATAGCCAATGCCCCTAAAGATATAAAATCACAGTGATAACAAACTTTTTAAACAGAGCATACCAAAATTCCTCTTTCCACAAGATATTTCTTAGTGAACTGAAACACATAAAACAAACACTAGTCAACAAAAATTTTTTTCAACTACATCATTGATAAACAAATAAAATTCTTACAAAAATCCTGACACCAATAATAAAAATACGATATCACAAGACATTAACATATTTTATTGCAACCAGATGCACAATAACTATAAGCAGGATGAATTTGCCATGAGGAAAACTATTAAACATCATATTTCTGCTGTAACCCCCGACAAACATATAATGTTTATAATATATTATAGAAAATGGAAGACCACAAACCTCATTGTCACTAACTGAAATAACCCCACCAAATCTAAACTAGTGGTGACCAATATAGTGTACCAATTTCAATCCCCAGTACAAAACTGTGCTACTTGTTAAAAACCAATTACTTATATTAGACACACTATTACCTCCTTAAGTAGACACCTTACATGCCACCTCTTGAAGCAGAATGCAATTAAAAACATTTATTAACCCACAATTCACAAGAACCTTTAAGGAAAATCCTAGTCAATAACACAAAAATTCTTCTCAAATCTCATAGTCATACACATCACATTATTAGTGAAGCATTATTGATTGAATACTGGCCCCTACTATCAATCTTACACTGTTTAGCAGTGGAGATGACGTGTTAAAGATTTTCTAAAAATAGAAGTGATGCCTTGGTCAACCAATCATGCATAACACATGACCACCAAAAAAGGCATGAACTCCTTCACAGATCCCCACACAGCTAAACTATTATATAGAAGACATACATAAAACTCACCATCCAAAAACAACATCCTTTATAATGGCTATAGAACTAGCCAAAAGCATTTGGAATAATAACTACAGACAATTTATATATATCAGAGAGACCAACAGAGAGTGTGTGTATGTTTAACACTTTCCTGCACCACAAATTTTCATAATCAAACTTCTGGTGATATAGGAGAACATTAGTTTATGTTCAGTACTTCTTGAAAAAATTTTAATGTTTAATAAGTACAACATAATTGCAAAATCACTAAAAAATGACACTATTTTCTGATGTTACAAGTAAACTAGTATAATAATAAGAAAAAAGACTGAGAAAATTATACTATGATGAATACAAAGCAGAGACAAAGAGAGAAAAAGGCAAGCAGAGACAAAGAGAGAAAAAGGCAAGCAGAGACAAAGAGAGAAAAAGGCAAGAAGAGACAAAGAGAGAAAAAGGCAAGAAGAGACAAAGAGAGAAAAAGGCAAGCAGAGACAAAGAGAGAAAAAGGCAAGCAGAGACAAAGAGAGAAAAAGGCAAGCAGAGACAAAGAGAGAGAAAACTGACAAGAAAATGAAAGAATAACGCAACAAACAAAAGAAAGAAAAAGACATGACAAAATCAAAATGCAATAAAAATTAGAAGAGGACAAGGTTACAACTACTACAACAAAGAAGAAGAAGAAAGTGAAATGAAGAAGAAAGAAAAAAGACTGAAAATTGGTAGAGAAAGAATCGAAAAGAGATGAAAAAGGCATCATTATATCAATCTTACATCAAAGAGAAACCAAAAAAAAATACTATTAATAGAAATTTTTGATAGTGGGGACAGTATACAGGAATCTTATATTAAGTGTATAAAAATAGATAAAAAATGCATATATTGTTACCTTATTCCCAAGTGTAAAGAGTTTAAATAATTTCCATCCAAATTGGTTTTCTGCACTCATAAACCCACAGGAAAAGAATTCTTTTTTTCTCTTTCTTTTATACTTTATCTACATTTTATATTGAAGTAGATACATACACCACCTGGTTACCATAAATTCTCCAAATATAGTTGCTTGCAACAACAATATAAAAAAAAATTGCATATAGGCATAATAATGGAATTTTTATTTGAACCTAAAACCAAATGCATTGTAAAGGAAAATGCTTTTAACAGATAAGCTTTTAAACTTGGATTAAGCAAAACATTCTTGCTTAGTATAACCCAAGGCCAAATCGTAGAGATGGATAAGAAAGATTGTATAGTGCCAATATTTCAAGTGAGAAGAGTCAGCCAGCCAGTCCTTAAAGTTTGCATTCAAAATCAGGACTTCTATCTTGGCTCAAACACTGATCTTTATATATCAAATGTATGATCCTTCCAATAAACCATGAATATCTTTTTTTTTTTAAGTTAACTCTATGCAACCTCTTCACTGATCCATGTCACAAATATTCATAAGATGCTGGACATTTTTAAAGTTCGCTAGAAAATGTCTCTGGCCTGAACATATTGATCAAAACAATCAAGGTGAGGATACTTTTCCAACTAACCCATCAGATAATGATAATACTTCCCTTTCCAATTTCAAACAAGAAAGCAGAATATGCAATCTTTCAAAGATGAAACTATATTTTGCTAATATCCACATTATTGATATTGGCTAAGTTTCATATTGTTTGCTTCTATATTATTGCTAAATAACTAAGTATATAATATAGAAACCAATTTTATTCTGGCTGAAGTATTAAATTTGTAAGTCACTTTAGTGGAAATGTATTACTCTTTTCTTTGAAGTAATTTTAATGAAAGGAAATTAACAAAAGAAAAAAAAGAAAATGTTCTTTTTTCTTCCAATTTACAATATGGCTGCTTGCTTGCCTGTTGTCATATTGCCATTTGGTTTGAAAATGAACAAATAGTAAAAATTGTAATCTTTCCCAATTGAATAATATAAGATAATTGCAATAGTGCAACATTAGCAATGTGATAAAGTAGAATAAACTTTAAATAATGAGTTCCACTTTTAAAATTACTGCAGAATAATTAAGAAAAAGTATTTTAGATTCTATATCAATTTCAAACAAGAAAAATTGATGATTTAAAAAAAAAATAAGATAAAAATTCTACAAATTTCATCCTTGGCAGAATTTAATAACATATTCTTTGAACAAGAAATTTTCAAAATTAGACATGAATTCTTTGTACATGTTTTGTAAGCTATTCACAGAAGCACCGTCTTTGGAGATAATGAATAAAAATTATAAAAAAGAAAAAATTTAAATAGTAGTAAAAGTTCTGAAAAAGATTTAATATGAGTCACACATATTTAAACTGAGAGCAGTTGTTTACGATTGATTTTATCATGGAATCTCTGAAGAAATCCTAATTACTTTGAAAATCAGCTTTTTGAAATTGTGTCTGTGGGAGAATGAAAATCAACTAATAAATAAAAAATTTAATTTTCCCATAATGCAAAAGGAAACCAAAAACTGTTCCAATGTGAATTTTATGACCCTTACTTCCAGAAAGGAGATAATCGCTCTCTTCTAACTCCCAGCCATTGAGTTTAGACATGTTTGGTAGCTGCCCCAATGAAAGGGAGATTCAGTTGTCCTCACTCGATATCAGGCTGACCATTTTTCATATCTTGTGCGTCAATAAACATTGGCCAGTCATTTTCTAATCAAGTCTTCATTTTGTTTATTGTGGTTCACTGACATCCAACTTCTGTTAGTGGCACAAAGTCAAAAACCAACCCACTACATAAACTTTTAACTAAGCTTGAACATTTACTACTGATGCCCAAACTAATCTGATTTTATCTGAAGAATCCTGCTTTTTTGATAAACTGTATTTATCCTTCCAAAAGCTAAACAAAGTATTAAGAAACAGGAACCTTTTGTTAGAAACAAAGAAAACAGTGCTGAACTGTTATGTAATATCAGTATTCCTATATGACAGTGAATGCTTGACAATTTCCTCACTGATGAAGAGGAGACTTTAATGATGTAGTTCTCCAGAAAAAATGTCATGGATGGAGCATGTGAGCATTGAGGAAGTTTTGAAGGAAATAGAAAACAAAAAGGATACTTTTGCTTAAAATCAGAGACAGCTGGAATTTCTGAGACATGTAATGAGGAATAAAGGCTTGGAGAATTTAACACTCACAGGACATACTGAAGGCAAGAGAGATAGAGGAAAACCACAAGTAAACTATCAGGGAATGGGAATTATACTAAATTAAGAAATACTGCTAAGAGCTACAAAGGATAAGTTGGGGATAGTAATTGTTGCCCACATTCTGAAGAGGCATGGCAAAAGAAGTAGTTGTATCTAACATACATCCTTAAGATGAGTTACAATTGTTTTTTCTTAAATTTTTCCTGGGATACTCGATTCTTTATCAGTCTAACTGCAATCTTTTAATGAAGACAAAATTTAAATAACAAATGAAAGGGGAATATCTATGAGAAAATCAGGGTCAGATTATCTTTTATGTTAGTATAGGCCGCAGCCAAGGGTCCGACAAATTTTTATAAAGTCATAATTTTAATTTTCTACATGTTATAACTTCTAAATAGTTTCATAAAGTGAATTTTGTTTTAATCATTTCATTCCAAGCAAGACAATAAATCCACTAAGCCACAGGGGGGTTACTGAGTGACAAAAAATATAAAAAAAAGCAAAACATTACAAATTGAGAACAATAAGAGAACAAGACAAAAGATAACCACTGACATTCCATTTAAATTCTTGAAAATCAAGCTTTAATTGGAAAACAAGAAACTGGAACTAACTTACCATTATATCTCACCATTTCAACTACAAAATGATGAGAACTTACTGCTAATCTAGTAATGTGCTTAAATTTATAGAGTCTAGGTACCACAGAGGAAAGTTCATCAGAATATTTACCTCGAAAGTATTTATAGAAAAGGCACAGGGAAACAACATTACAGCAGGTGGAAAATGTCTGAAGCTGAGATGCCAGGTTAGGACCAATGACATTGCAGATTCTTCTTTGTCATATTGATATCAGTTGATAAAATCCAAACTCATTTATTTTGATTGTTTTATTGCTATAAAATGTTTTTTTACTGATTGTATTGAAATATGTGCTAATCTGGTTTGAATTGAACAGTAAAATAGTGGTATTTCTAAAAGAATATTTTTTGACAAACAAAAGATAGCTTGAAATAAATTTATTGTAAATTCTTTAATAAAACTAAAATATATCATGAGTAAAAAATATTCAAGACAGGTGAGAGTGAATTAGAAGGTGACTCCAGCTGTGGTATGAAGGGGCTGGGGCATAATTTATTAGCTTGGAGGCCCCAAAAGGTCGTAATCCAGCCCTGGTGAAAATATATACAAGGTCTGTTTAGACTGTGTCTAGCCATTTTGAATATCTCAAAAACTAGTTGTGCAGTTTTGATATAATTTGGTATCTTATGAAATGGGACCTTACTGCACATGTCTGAACAGATACTCTCCCATGGGGTTACTTAGTCAGCAGTGAGACAGCCAATGTATTGTGTGACCATCACATCCTCAATGGCCAACTGAGCAGATATTCTTCATGTCTCTTACAGGGTCTTATTTTGAAAACATTACCCTAGTCTAAGCTTATGATTTAGCTCCCAGCAACTTCTGACTAAAATTACTGTTGAGATGAATGAGATTAAAGTGCTGTGAGACAGGTGTTTGCTATTTTGGGACAGCAATTATCATATTTTATTTTGCATAGTATGTGTAATTTTGAATGAAAACTAAAGTTAAAAAAGGGAGCTGTATTATACACAAGAATACATTTTCTGAAAATTTTACTCAGCTTAAAAAAATCTTATTTGAAACACCAAGATTGCAAATGCACTCAGCACAATAGATGATAAAACACACAGTTGGTAGGTGTAGATAATAATTGTTTACAAAAGCTATTTGACATGTCTGGCAATATTTGTTTTTTTTTGGAATCAGTTAATGTTTAAAATTCAAACAGTTTTGCTCACATGATAAAGTTTGTTTATGTTTTGATTTTCCTGGTTTTTATAAACATTTCTCTCTTGATTCTTAACAAAAGACATCTTTTTTTAATTCCATAGTTTATTAATATATATTATAGAATTAATAAAGTTATATCATACAGAAAAGTATGAAAGATAACTAATCTATCATACTTTTAAAATGTATTATCAGGTATGTGTAGTTAGCACCTTTCTCTGAAAATTTGAAAATGAGTTTTGAAACAGAAATTAGAAGAAATACAATATAAATAAACATCTAGTTCATCTCTATTCTTTAATATTGTGAAACATTAAATATTTTAGTGAATTACATATACAACATTGAGATTTTAATGGATAATATGGTAGAGCTCTTTAAAAAAAATTACATAGGAATTGCTTTATTATGGAATCTTACACTCAAAGATGTAATTATTTCCCCATTTTTAGCTTCAGAAACACAAGGTGGTTGTTATATAGGAATAAAGTGTGGCTACCAACACTGAAGATGGAACACAGATCACCAGAGAGCAAACACAGGCAATCCCACTTGAAATAAGTAGACCATGTGATGGTAAAGGAAATGTATATATGGGAATTAGCATGGCATCTAGCAGATCACTATACTGATTACTATTCAGATAACTATTTGGTGGCTATTTTTCAAGTAAGTATTATCGAGCAAGCACTATTAGTGCGAGTGTTATTCGAAGGTGTCTTACACCAGTATTGTCTAATAGCATCACTAGAGTTGTAGCTGCAATTA